AATTTTTGGTAAGTCTGACCAGGGGTTTATAAGTTTTATTAATTCTTTCAGAGAACCAGCTCTTAGTTTTGTTGATCTGTTCTGCTGTTCTTTTGGTTTATATTTAATTGATTTCTGCTCTAATCTTTATTAATTCTCTTCTGCTGGGTTTAGGCTTTATCTGCTGTTCTTCCTCTAGCTCCTTTAGATGTAAGGTTAGGTTTTATATTTGAGAACTTAATTCTTGAGAAAGGTTTCTATTGCTATATGCTTCCCTTTAAGGACTGCCTTTGCTGCATCCTAATGGTTTTGAAGAGTTGTATTTTTATTTTCATTTGTTTCCATGAATTTTTAAAATTCCTTTTCTTTTAGATTTTTATTTATTTTATTTGAGAGGAAGAGAGAGAAATACTGAGAGAGAGAGAGGAAGAGGGAGAGAGAGGAAGAGGGAGAGAGAGATACTGAGAGAGAGAAATACTGAGAGAGAGAGAGATACCGAGAGAGAGAGAGATACCGAGAGAGAGAGAGAGAGAGAGAGAGATGCCAAGAGAGAGAGAGATAGATGCCGAGAGAGAAAGAGAAGTAGTGAGAGAGAGAGAGAGAGAGAGAGAGAGAGAGAGAAGTAGTGAGAGAGAGAAGTAGTGGGAGAAGAGTGAGAAGCAGGTTCCCTGCTGAGGAGGGTGTCCAATGTGGGGCTTGATCCCAGGATCCTGGGACCATGACCTGAGCTGAAGGCAGATGCCTAACTGACTGGGCCACCCAGGTGCCCCTAAATTCGTCTTTCATTTCCTGGTTGACCCATTCACTTTTTAGTAGGATGCTCTTTAGCCTCTATGTATATGAGGGTTTTTTGTTTTTTGTGTTTTTTTTTTTTTTTTTTTGCAAATTTCCTCATATGATTGAGTTCCAGTTTCAAAGCATGTGGTCCACAAATATGCAGGGAATGATCCCAATCTTTTGGTACTAGTTGAGAACTGATTTGTGACCCAGTATGTGATCTGTTCTGGAGAATGTTCCATGTGTACTTGAGAAAAAGGTGTATTCTCTTGCTTCAGGATGGAATGCTCTGAATATACCTGTGAAGTCCATCTGGTCCAGTGTGTCATTCAAAGCCCTTGTTTTCTTATTGATCTTCCACTTAGATGATTTGTCCATTGCAGTGAGTGGGGTGTAACATCCCCTACTATTATTGTATTATTATTGATGTGTTTCTTTGATTTTGTTAGTAATTTGCTTATATAATTGGCTGTACCCATGTTAAGGGCATAAATATTTACAATTGTTAAATATTCTTGCTGGATAGACCCTTTAATTATGATATAGTGTCCTTCCTCATCTCTTTTTACAGTCTTTGATTTAAAATCTAATTTGTCTGATATAAGGATTGCCATCTCAGGTTTCTTTTGATGCCCATTAGCATGAAAAATGGTTTTCTGCCCCTTCACTTTTAATGTGGAGGTGTTTTGGGGTCTAAAGTGAGTCTTCAATATGGCTTATCAATGGGACTTGCTTTTTTTTTTTTTTTTTAAAGATTTTGTTTATTTATTTGTCAGAGAGAGAGAGAGAGAGAGAGCAAGCATAGGCAGACAGAGTGGCAGGCAGAGGAAGAGGGAGAAGCAGGCTCCCTGCCGAGCAAGGAGCCCGATGCGGGACTCGATCCCAGGATGCTGGGATCATGATCTGAGCCGAAGGCAGCTGCTTAACCAACTGAGCCACCCAGGCGTCCCGGGACTTGCTTTTTAATCCAATCTGATACCCTGTGTCTTTTGACTGGGGGGAAATTAGTGCATTTACATTCAGAGTAACTATTGAAAGATATGATTTTAGTGCTATTGTATTACCTGTAAAGTCACTGTTTCTGTATGTTGTCTCTGTTCCTTTCTGAACTGTATTACTTTTTGGCTCTCTCTTCACTTAAAGGATCACTTTTAATATTTCTTTCTTTTTTAAAATTTTAAGTTATTTATTTATTTATTTGACAGACAGAGATCACAAGTAGGCAGAGAGGCAGGCAGAAAGAGAGAGGGGGAAGCAGGCTCTCTCCTGAGCGGAGAGCCTGATGCGGGGCTTGATCCCAGGACCCTGGGATCATGACCTGAGCTGAAGGCAGAGGCTTTAACCCACTGAGCCACCCAGGCACCCCAACTTTTAACATTTCTTGAAGGGCTGGTTTAGCGATCACAAATTCTTTTAGTTTTTGTTTGTCCTAGAAGGTTTTTATCTCTTCTATTTTGAATGACATCCTAGCTGGATAAAATATTCTTGGCTGCATATTTTTCTCATTTAGTACCCTGAATATATCGTGCCAGTCCTTTCTGGCCTGCCAGGGCTCTGTGGATAGATCTGCTGCCAGTCTAATATTTCTTTCCTTGTAGGTTATGGACCTCTTGTCTCAAGCTGCTTTTAGGATTTTCTTTTTGTCTCTGAGATTTGTGAGTTTTACTATTATATGTCGAGGTGTTGACCTATTTTTTTTTTAAGATTTTATTTATTTATTTGACAGAGAGACAGCAAGAGAGGAAACACAAACAGGGGGAGTGGGAGAGGGAGAAAGAGGCCTCCTACTGAGCAGGGAACCCAGTGCAGGCCTTGATTCCAGGACCCTGGGATCATGACCTGAGTCGAGGGCAGATGCTTAATGTCTGAGCCACCCAGGCACCCCAGTGCTGACTTATTTTTCTTGATTTTTTTTTTTTTTTTTTTTTTTGAGCAGGTTTCTTTGAGCCTCTTGGGCTTGAATGCTTGGTTCCTTCCCCAGATTAGGGAAGTTCTCCATTATAATTTGATCCAATATACCTTCTGCTTCTCTTTCTCTCTTTCCTCTTCTTCTGGGAGCCCAACTATTTTAATATTGTTTCACTTTATGTTATCACTTGTCTCTCAAATTCTTCCCTCATGATCCAATAGCTGTTTATCTTTTTCTTAGCTTCTTTATTCTCTATCATTTTGATGTTCTATATCACTAACTCTCTCTTCTACCTCATTTTCCCTCACAGTTAGAGCCTCCATTTTTGATTAAATCTCATATCTAATCAAGTTGAAGCCTTTTTTGACTTCAACTTGATTAGATTTTAGTTCTTTTATTTCACCAGAAAGGGATTCCCTAGTGTCTTCTATGCTTTTTTTTTTTCAGGCCCAGCCAGTATCTTTATAATAATTATTCTGAACTCTAATTCCAACATCTTACTAATGTCCATATTAATTAGGTCCCTGGCAGTCAGTAGTGCCTCTTGCTCTCTTTTTTGAGGTGAGTTTTCCCATCTTGTCATTTTGTCCATAGAAGAATAGATGAACAAGAGAACAAAATACTTAAAGGGCAACAATGACCCCAGAGAAATACACACTTAACAAATCAGAAGAGACCTGAACTGGGTGGTGGTAGGGGGGTGTGTTGGTCAGGGTGGGGGTGGAGAGAGAATATGATCAGGCTGGTGAATAGAACAGAGCCATACACCAGATTTTGGGTGTGTTTTGGTATATTACAAGAAACTAGATTTCAAAATAGTAAAGAAAGAAAAAAAATATAATACATTGAAAGGTTGGAATGTAACTGTAAAGATGAAAATTTAAAAAGACTAACGAAAAGAAAAAAGATTTAAAAAAAGAAGAAGAGAAAATAATATGATTAGACAAGTGAAGAGAACAGAACTATACACTAGATTCAGGGTGTATTTTAGTTGGTTAGAAGAAACTGCATCCCAAAATGTAAAGAAAGATAAAATTATATGTATACAAAAATAAAATTAAATACAACGAAAAGATAGAATGTTACTATAAAAATGAAAATTTAAAAGATTTTTAAAAAAAGAGTTGATAAAATGAGAAATTGGGTGAAAGGGGAAAGAGAGAAAAATTAAAAATGAAAGACTAAAGAATCATGGGCAAAAACCCCATGAATTCTATAGACTATTTTCCCCTAGCACTAGAATTTTGCAGTTCCCTACAATCAGTGAACTTGTTCTTAACTGGATGTTCTTGCTGATCTTCTGGGGAAAGAGCCTGTTTTGCTGATTTTCAGGTGTCTTTGCCCCAGGCTAAATTTCACTGCCTAAGGCAGGGGGCCAGGCTAAGTAAGCAGTTCCTGAGGATTGCTCTATGTGGCTTTTGTTCCTGAAGACTTTCCACACAGCTTTAGAGGATGAGAATGAACATGGTGGCCTCCCAATCTCCAGCCCCAGAGCCTAGAGCTTGGGGCCCCACTCCTCAGTGAACCCTCAGAGAAAAGCAGTCCTTCATTCCCATCTCCTTGGTCTCCATCCACACTCTGTGCTCACTTAGCCTGTGATCGAGCATTCCAACCTCAGGCATGCAACCCTGTTTTGAGTCTCTAAACCCTGCAACCTCTCTGGCACACCCACCATACCACTCTTCCTCGGGGAGGAAGAGGAGTCTGCCCAGTTCTGCCACTTGTTGGGCTCCTACTCAGAGAGCAGTGGAATGACTGTGCCACAGTTCATGGTTTATGGCAACCCTGAGCTGAGAGCCCTCTCCTGGGCTCACTGATAGGAGCTGGCTTCCTCACTCCAATGCCTAGGAGCTCTGCAGCTTTCAGGCACCACAGGTCTTCCTGTGACCTTGAGACCATACTATCCCAGCTAAGATTCTGCCTGTTTTACCACCTGATCACCTTTTAGGCGGGACATCCCTTACAGGAGCAGACTTCTAAAAGTTCTGATTTTGTGCTGTGCTGCTATAACACTTTCTGGTAGCTGGCTTATGGAAGATTCCTCCCCCACCCCCGTGGTCTGTCCTTCCATATATCGCCTTGGATTCACTTCTCCACACCTTCTACCTTGCAGGAAATGGTTACTGTTCTATTTGTAGAGTTGCAGCTATTCTTTTTCTATATCTCCAGTTGAGTTCACAGATGTTCAGAGTGATTTGATAGCTACCTAGCTGAATTCCTGGGACCAGATGAAACTAAGGTCTCCTACTCCTCTGCCATCAATCAGGACCCCTTCTTATAGAAAATATAAATTCAGAAACTGCTCATTGATTAATGTATTTTCTTATTTTATAAGATCTGGGATTTTGAGACAGTAGACACTGCTGATTCTATTGATGATACTGGATTGTTAGAGATCGAACCCATTAATGAACTTCAAGTAGGCAAGAATGTCAAACTCTTCTCTATGATAAAAATGAACGAGATTGGAAGTAATTTTTGGTTAGCTCAGGTAAGTTGTGTTCTTCCCTCTTGGCTCTTTAAAGTTACCTAGACAAAAAATTAAAATCATAACATAATTTATTGTCACTATAAGTCCATTTTACTATTAAGACTACTATTGATAAGTCAATGAAGACTACCTGAATTTTGGTATTTAGTTAACCTGTACTTTATACACAAAAAACCAATTAGCATTCTTATTATATTAAACTCACTATATATATATTATGAAAATGTTTCCTTTATTGTGTGTTCTAAGATATATAGCAATTGCTTTTGTTACATTTTCGTCACACTTTAAAACATATGTAAGGTTTTGATATTATTGTTTGTTCTTTAACTAGAAGAAAATTCTTTTCATTTGATAAGAGTTAAAAATGATGAACTAGTCTTGGTTATTTAATTTTTTAGGATGCCAATGGAGCCATATGGAAGCTTGACCTTAGTTTTTCAAATATTGTAAGTTGTCTCTTTTTTCCCCCTAATTCTTATAACAAAAGACTGTTATTCTTCTTTAAAAAATATTTTGTCTTTCTCTATATTTGATCATTGTTCCCATCAAAAACTTGTCCAACATGTCCTAGTCCTGAGAATTTATTCTCTCTCTGATTTTATTTAAAAAATGAACTATCTCAGCAAACTTTACTAGAAAAGTGGTAATGATAATGCCTCATGTTATCCAGTGCTTTACAGTTGTCATAAACTTATGGTATTTTCATTTATTTTATCTTCTGCATCCCTCATAGCTACCCTGATGAATGGGTGGACAGTTGCCATCACCTCATTTTACTGGTGAGGAAATGGAAAGCCTTCAAGTGTGAAGCCAGTACCGTTTCTCCTAATTCCAAAGTCCAGAACTCTTTCTAGACTTTTATGCTTTTGTTTTTTAAAAGGATTTATTTATTATTTTAGAGATGGGAGGGATAAGGGGAGAGGGAGAGAGAGAATCTCAAGTATACTCCCTGCTGAGCATGGAGCCTGTCATGGGACTTGATCTTCCCACCCTGAGATCATGACCTGAGCAGAAACTAAGGGTCAGATGCTTAACTGACTGAGACACCCAGGCACCCCAACCTATTATGTTTTTAAAAATATCTATTCAGATAAAATCACACATGTGTTATAGGGTTTTATTTATATATTTTTTAAAAACTTGACCTTAATTTGATGTTAACTTTTCTTTAAGATCTAATGGGATTTCTTTTTATTATCAGACTCAAGATCCAGACTGCCTCTTCTCCTTCCATTCTGGGGCTGTTGAAGCCTTGGCAGTCTCTCCCCTCACTTACCTCATGGCCACTACTGCCTTGGATTGTGAGTAGGAACTCCAAATGAAAATACATCTGGTGTTTTTTGTTTTGTTTTCCACCCCAAATTTTATATGTGTTTGTTGAAAAGCATTTGAGAACTTTTCCAAAAGGTAAGCCTCTCGATGTAAGTGAAGTGAGTTTTTGTGGAGGAGAGAGGAACTAAAGTACATCAGCCTTGGTTATTGTGAAAGATTAAGGATATGGTAAGTTACAAATATGCCATTCATTTTGGTATTATCCACATTCATGCCTTTCCTTTTTTTTTTTTTTTCACCTTTCTCCTTTCTTGATGCGTGGTGAATCTTTTTGGGTTATGCAAAGTGAAATTAATCCATCAGTCAGTCATCAGTTCGCTTTATTATCCATGATTACAAGTTACCTGGTTGAGGGTATTCATGTAAATTTTTGACTAAAGAAAACTTATTAGATTATTAGTTTATTTATGTATGAAATTTCTTGTTATAATGCTTAACATGTTAAGTGAGACAAGTTTACTTTAAAAGATGACATATATATATAATTTGTTTCTTTTAAAACTGTCTTTCTGTAGGCTCTGTTCGAATCTATGATTTTGCTAGCAAAATGCCTTTGGCTCGGATGAAATTCAAACAGGGAGGTACTGCCCTTGCTTGGGTACCCCAACTGGTGAGTTAATGATAACAAACTTCTGCTGGAATGTATTGGTAAATATAATATATCAGTGCTATTTCTTAGAAATCTATTTTATGACTTTGGATTTTGGAGAAGAATAAAACTTTTAACTTAGTTTATTCACTCATTCAGAATTTGATAGAAATCATATGACCTTGCTTTTGTGGTTTTGGTCCTGTTTTAATAAAAATCTATTTTTATGCCACTTGCAAGTTAGTAATCATTTCATATTATAAAATAATTACTCAACAGAATTTTGTGTATCTATCATCTAGCTGACTGTGATTTCATTTCTTCTGTTTATATTCCCAGTCTGCCTGCAATGTGCTGGGTCTTGGTCTAGCTTCTGGGACTATAGCAATGAACAGAAAGACAAAAATACTTGCCCACATGCATCTTACACTTTAGTGGGAGAGAGGAGGCAGAAATGGACAATAAAGAAAAATAAGTAATGTATGTGATATGTTAGATAATAAGGCCTATGGAAAAAATTTTAGGCACATAGGGAGTTGTCCTAGTTATCTATTGCTATGTACCGAACTACTGCAAAATGTAGTGGCATAAAACAGCAGTCTTTTTATTTTGCTCATATGCTGTCTGGATTGGGAAATCAGACCAGTGACAACAGCAGTGGATTGTCTCTGCTTCATTGTGTCTGGGTCCTGGAATCATGCAAAGCCTTCTTTATCATCAGTCTGGCACCTAGACTGAAGACTGGGCTAAGCTGGGCTGTCAATAGGAGTGCCTACCTAAAAGCTTCTTCATGGGGCTTCTGCTTCATCACAGCATGGTGGCCTCAGGGTAGGCACATACTTCTTAAATGGCAGCTCAGGGCTCTAAGATCTAGTGTTCCAATAAACAGGCAGATGCTGTGGGCCTTTTAAAGATTTTATTTATTTATTTGACAGAGAGAGATCACAAGTAGAGGGAGAGGGAAGAGGCAGAGAGAGAGAGAGGGAAGCAGGATCTCTGCCGAGCAGAGAACCCGATGCGGGACTCGATCCCAGGACCCTGAGATCATGACCTGAGCTGAAGGCAGCGACTTAACCCACTGAGCCACCCAGGCGCCTGCTGTGGGCCTTTTAGAACGAGACTTGGAAGTCATATAATGTCAGTTGTACTGTATTCACCTGAGTGAAGCAGTCACAAGGCCCACCCAGATTCAAGGAGGGGAGGGACCTAAATGGCATCTCTTTATGGGGGACATGCCAAAGAATTTGCAGCCAAGTTTTTAAAATATCATGGGAGTATTTGAGGAATTTTCATCCTTACTGTTTTGGATTGAAATCAAAGAGAAATTGTTCCAGGACCAAGATAAATGTGGAAATGGATGGAATCAAGAACGGAAGTAAGAACTCAGGCCTGGGATTAGAGGCAGAACAATGAAAAGTTTAGAATAAGGAGAAACCCACAGAGTGTTTGTCTTACCAAACCAGGCTGACTCTTTGTCCCGCTTCATTTACATTCTTACCTGAAGTATTTCAATTATAGCCATATAATTAAATCATTTATACAGATGGCTGTGCAATGTCCATAGAATGTTTCCTTTTTTAGCCTCCTATTCAAGTACTGATCATTGGATACCATGCTAGAATTAAATGCCTCATCTTTAGACCCTTTTGCTTCTCTAGAAAACTCCATATCTTTATGGCTCAGCTCAGGTCAGACATCCTCTCTGCATAGTCCTCTGTGACCCTACCTTCATTCAGGTAGAGCTAGGCACTCCTTCATCTGTGATTTTTTTTTTAAAGGACTATGTATATACTAATTTTATGAACCTTTACACAATGTGCTAAGATGAATTGCTTTATTGTCTCTTTCCCACCAGACTGTTCTTCATGGGTGACAATTACACTCTATTCTACTTTGAACCTCTAGTGCCTCTATAGTACATTTGGACACATAGCAAATATTTATTGAATGAACAACATTCAACAGGAGCTGGATGGAATAGTTTTTTCTTATTACCAAGACTCTCCTGACTGCCTGGTCTTAGTGATGATCACTCTGCTCTAAAGAATATCAGGGCTCTTGCCTTTCTCCTGAATGCCTCCCAAGACAGCAGATTTAGTATATTGGGACACTGCTAGATTTTTTTCTTTAGCCCAGACTTCTCTGAGCTGCAGGCTATGTGCTTTCCTCATTTTGAGATCTCCAGGGGACCTCAAACCCAACACGCCCAAGACTAGATTCATGATACTCCACTGGCCTCCAAAACAATAATAGCAACAACAAACCACACAGACACTTGGCTCCCTTCCGCGGTTTCCTATCTCAGTAAATGTCTCAGTCATCCTTGACACCTCCCTCTGCCCTTCTCCCCTGTATTCAGTCATCACCAAATAGGGTCATTATAGCTTTCTCTAAACTATGCCCATATCCTTCCTCTCCATGACACCATCTTAGACCAAGTGACCACAATCACTCTCCTGGAGTAAGGCAGCCATTGCTTTAAAGGTCTTGCCAAAAGTCGCCCTGCATCCTATCTAGGCCGTCTCAGTTCTGTTTTGCACAATGAAGCTAAGATGGCTTTTCCAAAATAGCAAATCTGATCATGTTACCCTCTATACACACACACAGACACACAGACACACACATGCATACACATGCACACAACATACCCAAACCCCCAACTAAAAACATTTCAATGGCTTTTCACTGCTCTTGGAATGAAGACTATCCTTAATGTGACATGAAAGCCACTTTGTGACCTGGGCCTTGCTTAACTCTCTCTTTAGCTTCTTTTCTGCACATGACCTTTCCACAAGCTATATCCTCTCCTAGGCATGCTTCTCCCATCTCCCTGAACTTAATTTCTGGGCATCTTTCTGGTCTCAGCTCCACCATCTCTTCCTTGGTCTAGGTAAGCTTTCTTTGTTATATGCCCTCAGATATTGTGTCTTTCCTTTAGCATTTATTTCTGTTCATAAATTTATACTCATCTGCATGATTAATGTCTGTCCTCCCCCTAGACCATAAATTCTGTGAAACCGGGGACAAACTGTTTATGCTCACCTTTGAGTTGCTGGTGATAGGTGCCTGGCACATGGTAGACAAGCTACTACACCAGCATTTGCTTCTTGAGTGTTTGGATTGCCATTGTCTACCCATCTCATCAGCAGCAGTGATAAAAAACTAGAATAGATGGAGGTTACCAGAAAGTTGTATAAGGACTTACCAACGAGCAGTCAATGTTAAATTACTTGGCTAAATAAAATACAGAGTTATCTGTTACATAGTAAAACTTTCTTAATCAACTAATTTCATATATGTTGCATTTAATTTTTATCCAAGGTAAGCTACACCGGAGCACAGATTATTGCAGGATTCGAAGATGGGGTGGTTCGAATTCTTGAACTTTACGATCCAAAAGGACTCACAATTTTTGCAGGACGGAAGAAAATTTCTGATGCAGATATTAATTTGAAACAGGTTTTCAAACCCCATACTGCTCGTGTCACTGCCTTAGCTTATGAACGTGATGGAGAAATTCTAGCTACAGGGGTAAGTGGTAGATTTCTTTTTGTTTCCTATTGAGCTTTCATGGTTAAACTTATTTTTATTTGTCTTTCTACTTGATGATAACTTATTTGCTGATGTACATTTTAGAGAAAAACCCATAGTTTGTTTCTTTATGTTCATGTTCTTTTAGTATAGTCTGTGCATGACATCTCAAAATTTTCTTATAAATTGAGTTCTAATGCTTATATTAAATGAATAGAAGTTTTTACCTGGGAGTTATGATCCTGTGTTATGTATAACCAATATTTTATCACATAGGTATGTTCTTAAACAGAATTGCCATAAGTGACGAGAATAAACTTGTACATTTTTAATGTATTAGTAAGTGAGCATATGCTTTGTGGAATTTTTTGAGTTAACCTATGTATAGGTAAGGTATAGTGATCATTCTTTCAGAAACACATCCTGGAACACTTGGTTTGTCAAATGTTCTCATGGGGGAAATGAAGCAAATATTTGAAATAAGAATTTTCCCAGAATAATCTGGGAAATATAATTATTGTGGGTATAGTTATATAGAGGATATATTATAGCTAGTAAGTGCTACTCTGTACTCTATGGAATAGATTTTTTAAAAACCCCATATTTCTTGGGTATTTCTCTTTTTCTTAGAGTAAAGATCAAACCGTCTTCTTCTTTGAGGTAGAAAAGGATTATAAGCCAATAGGGTATATTACTACTCCTGGACCTGTTCGCCAGTTAGTATGGTCTTCAAACTCCCATGTAAGTAATTAGTATTTGTCTTCATGTTTAAATCTCAATTACAGCATAATGAAGTGATCTGGAAGAGAGAACAACAGGTGGAATTATTAGCCACATTCCTGGGTCCTGCAGTGAGGGGTCAGGGATGCTCTTAGCTTGGCTAGTAGAGCATTACTGAGGAGTCCCACATCACACTCATTACCTCTTCTCTCTTCCATTCTCTAAATTGTTGGTCATGATTCCCCTCCCAAAACTTTGGGTTATATCAGGCTTTGCTTTAACACTGATGACTTTATTGAGATGCACATGTCAGAATGTGTTGACTTGGGTCTATCAATCCTTTTGACATTCAAAAGTTCAGTTCCAAGGTCTGAATGTCCTTGCCCTCATCTTTATCTCTTTGCTTCTGCCCCTTTCCACCTCTATTTTCTCTTTGAATCTTCCACTGACTCTTTTCCTAACAACAGTTGGTGATTCAGGATTGGTTACTGATCTTATTTAATGCCTCTCATTTCCCTAAGTTTGAGCATTAGATAATTCTGTCATCTGAATGTTGATTTAATTTCTAAACCAGGTGCTGTCCTGGGTTCTAGGATAATAATACCGATTGAACTGTATGGAGGTGTCAGAATTATTGAAGTAATATCTATTAATCTACCTTGAACTTGTCTAAAGAAAAGGGCTACAACAATATAGTATTTAGAAAAAGCTTTTTAAAAAAATATTCATTGTTTTCATCTTTGCTAGGCACTGACGATGGAGTCAATAAGCAGTACAAAGCAATCTCTTCTGAAAGAGAAAAAATGTACCTATTTTAGAAGTTAAATAACTATCACTGAACAATACAAGGTTTCACAAGGGAAATGGTGACTAAAATATCAGTGGTATAGACAATATGTGCTATGAATATAGAGCAGGGAAATACAAAGAAGGGCATAAGTTAACATAAGTTGTTATTTTGTATTATTCTACCTTAACCTTGAGGAAATGGTGGGATATGTGTAGTTGGAGAGAAGGTGGATGCTGGTGATTTAGGAGAAGGAAATGAAAGCTGCAAAGGGACCTGGGTTTTAAAGCATGAACACAACATGTGATATTATGTGCATCCTTTAATAATTTCTCTAGATTCAAAGTCAAAAACCCAAAAAGGTTAGAAATGGTGGGTGGGAAGGAGGTGGGCGTGACTACAAAGGGACATCTTGAAGATCCTAATGGTAATGAGGTAGTTTTGCATCTTGATTACCGCGAATGGTTCCATGAATCTACAGATGTGATAAAATGACATAGAATTATACACATGTTCTGTATTAATGTCAATTTCCTGGTTTTTATATTGTTGCATAAGAGGTAACCAATGGGAGAAACTGGGTGAAGGGTACATGATTCCTTTCTATACTATCTTGGTAACTTCCTGTGAATCAATAATTATTTTGAAATAAGCTAAATTTTTTTTTTGAAGCTAAATTTTTTTTAATAGGCATAAGAGACCAAAACTCCCAACATAATTCTAAAGTTATTTCAGGCCGTGCTGCAGATTAGTGCTTTTATTTCTTGTATTTGGGAATTACTAATGTCAAAGCAAATTACCCTCATTTCACAATGTATACATGTATCAAACCATCACATAGTACACTTTAAACTTATACAGTGTTCTATTTCAGTTATGCTTCAATAAAGATGGAGAAAAAAAGGGAATTTACCGTGTGTAACTGAACGCTGCACGCTGCAGCTACCCAGTTAGCCATAGCTGTTAGCTTCTACCAGTTCTCAACGGTCCGACCTCCTGCCTTCCTGAATGCATTAAACTTCTGTCCGCTATTTATAATTTGTGTTTCCAATAAGGCTGTACCATATGTACACACAGACTCATTCTGACTGCCGTGGTCACTACCATGATCACTCTGGGCAGCAGTGAGGCATGGGGGAAGCAGATGAGAGGCGGGTGGATCTATTGGGGAGCTGTGTTCCAGACACTTGACCAGTGTATGAAAGACTGCGGACAAGAGCTATGTAGGAGGTAGAATTAACAGAATTTCTGGGGCAGAATTTTGAATTTCTGGGGATAACTTTGAGCTGTTTGAATGAAACACATGAGCTTCTCTAAGACATGTTCTTTTGCCTGTGTTATTCTGGGACCACTGTCCTCTCTGTTGCTATAACCAGAAAATCTTGAAAATTCCAGCCTTTTCCCTACCTCTAATCACCCTGCCCTTCATTGGTTCACCAAACTTCTTTGATTTGCATTCTAAACATCCCTGCTTCCTCTTTGATATCCTAGATGAAAGCATAATACTATGCATAATACTTGCATAATACTATGCAAGAGTAAATAGCATTCAAATAGATGAAGTGAAAACTAATGGAACATTTGAAGGAAATGAACAAAATCTGTTCCCAGACAGTTTAGAGTCATGTAAATGCTTTAAGGCAAAGGCCCAGCAGAACGTCAGGTTCACTTTTCTGTATTCCCCTTTCTCTGGGATCCCCTCAAGTCCTAATTGTTTTTGTAAATTTGAACTTCAACTTTTGTCTCCTCTTCAAGATGTCTAAAGCTCTAGAACACAGCATTCTGCTTGATCTCTTGGTCTCACGCAAACTGTTGGCAACTTTGTCGTTAGGAGGAAAAGTTGCAGAAGAATCCCTTACCTTCCCGCTACCCAGCATAAAATCCTGTTACCTGTGCATCCACCTGCCCTCTTCCCTTTTTTATAATAGAGATGTCCTCTCGAGGACAGTTCTGCCGCCTCCTTTGGATTATACTGTTTTCCAATTTTTCAAGATTTCATACTACTTATTTTCTCTTGTCATAAATTTAAACTCACCTGTTTACTGGGTCATTTCCATTGGTATTTAAATGTGTTTGAGTATCTTCCATGAACAAAAAATAAATTCTTCAACCTTCCATTCTCCTCTAGTTACTGCCCCATCTTTCTCCTGACTTTTCCAAGAGGATTGATTATTCCTGTAGGCTCTTGACTAGTATCTAGTCTCATCATTCTACCAAGTCTGCTCCTGTAAAGAAACCACTGATGTCAACTTAACATTTTCAGTTCTCATCTTTCTTGACCTCTTACTTTCTTTGATTCTGTTGACCCTTACATTCTCTGAATTACCATCTCCCTTTAACTTTTGTGACCTTATGCTCTGCTGGTTCCACATTCTATATCTTGCCCTTCCTTTTCAGCCTTCCTCACCCAATTACTGAGTATTGTTTCCCTATAGTTCTGTTCCAATCTCTCTTTTCATTCTGTTCTCTTGACCTGGGTGTTACCATCCAAGTCCATAACTTCCTTGTAGGCCCAAACGTGCCACTGGGTATTTGCACAAGGTATTTGCTTTGTAAAGCATACTCCCTCAATCCTTCCCCTAACTTATTGTGTAATTCTACTCCCCCTTCACCTTGAAGCTTAGATACCACCTTCTCAGGAATCCTTGCACAGCTTCCTTTGCTCTTGTGGCACCTCTGCAACACTTGTCACAGTTATAATTTACATTTATTTATATGATTTGTTAAATGACAAGCTCTCTTGTTGGAGGTAAGCTCCATAGTGCCAGATGCTGTATTTTTCTTTTATAATTTTACCCTTAGCATCCCACAAAATGCCAAATACATAGTACACACATAATAATTATAGAATGAAATGACTGAGTGAAGAAACATTTTGAATAATGTGTCTATAGAATATCGAGATGGGGACTTTGCAGACATGGTTAAATATATGATTTTGGGAGATCAAGAGAACGGTCTGGGGGCGCCTGGGTGGCTCAGTGGGTTAAGACCTCTTCCTTTGGCTCAGGTCATGATCCAGGGTCCTGGGATCAAGCCCCACATCAGGCTCTCTGCTCATCAGGGAGCCTGCTCCCCCCACCAACCTGCCTGTCTACCTATTTGTGATCTTTGTCAAATAAATAAATAACATCTTAAAAAAAGAGAGAATGGTCTGGCCTAGAGAGATGAATTGATTTGGAATCTAATGGTGTGTGAGTGGTAATGAAGCCTTATGTTAGTTATAAGATTTCCCAGGAAATGCTTATGGAGTGAGAGAAGAGGGAAGAGGACAAAAATCTTGGGAACATCCACATTTAATGATCTGGGGCAGATAGAGAATGATCCACCAAAGGCTGCTCAGACTGGATATGCCATCCACACACTGCAGGTTTTCCTTCGCCTTTTATTCTGAATGATAACCTGATTTTAATATTCTGATTTTTGGACTAACATACTTCACAGCTGCATTTTTGGCTCAGAAAATGTATTATGACATCTGTAAGGGAAACAAATCTAAATCTAATGTTAACACTTAGCTTATTAATGATTATGTATAGTGATTAATAAGATGACTTATTATTGCAGTGAGGGATTAAGGATTTAAAAAATGGTTAGTATAGGGGCACCTGGGTGGCTCAGTTGGTTAAGTATCTGCCTTCTGCTCAGGTCATGATCCCAGGGTCCTGGGATTGAGCCCTGCATTGGGCTTTCTGCTCAGCGGAGACCCTGCTTCTTCCTCTCCCTCTGCCTGCAGCTCCCCCTACTTGTGGGCTCTCTCTCTGTCAAATAAATAAATGAAAATCTTTAAAAAGTTTTTTTTTTTTCAATGGTTAGTATACATAGCAATTATATTTTTTCCTGATTTATGATCTTTTTGAGCTATGCTTCTAAAAATTCACCTAAATGTGAATGATACGTTAATCTTTCTTTTTCAGCCTGACAGTACTTTACTGATTATCTGTGAGAATGGCTATGTTCTTGAAACTCCACTTCCAACCATAAAGGAGGAAGAGGAAAATCGTGATGTAGTTTCCTATGAAATCAAAGACATGGACATAAAGTGTTTTCATTTCTCAAGTGTCAAGTCTAAGATTCTGGTATGAGATATCCTTGAAGCATTATCTTCTAATGTGTTTTTTTCTTAGAAAATTTTTAAAATTATTTCTATTAACATATAATGTATTATTTGCCCCAAGGGTATAGGTCTATGAATTATCAGGCTTACACATTTCTCAGCACTCACCATAGCACGTAGCCTCCCCAATGTTTTTCTTAGAATTTAAAATATCTTTTTTTCCTTGACTTTTTTATTTAAATTCCAGTTAACATACAGTATAATATTTAGTTTCAGGTATACAGTATAGTGATTCAACACTTTCATACATCACCTGGTACTCATCACAAGTGCTCTCCTTAATCCCTATTTTCTACCTAACCCATCCCCCATCTCCTTTCCTCTGGTGCATGCCCCTCTGGAAAAAAAAAAAAAAAGTCTGTTTCTTGGTTTGCCTCTCACTTCCCCCTATGATCATATGTTTTGTTTCCAAGCCCTACATATGAGTGAAATCATATGGATTTGTCTTTCTCTAACTGACTTCACTTAGTATAATATTCTCTAGCTCCATCCACATCATTGCAAATGGCAAGATTTCATTCTTTTTTTTATGGCTGAGTAATATTCCATTGTATAAAAGTGCTGATGAAATATGAAGAAGAATAAGACATTTACCCTGACTTTATGAGCTTATAAGCTGGTAGAAAGCAGCCAACTATATTAGAAGGCAGTAGTGAATGGATATTAAAATCACAGTGCAAAGAAAATAATTTTAGGGGTGTGGAGTGAAACAAATATGAGTTTGATGGGGGGGTAAGAGGGGATCAAAGATGACTAGATAGAGGGAGCATTTAGTATTTAAAAAAATGAGAAGAATTTTGAGAGGATGAAAAAGGAGAGGAAGGCAATAAGAGCTGGAATAACATCCTGAGGGAAAGCAGAGTTGTAAGAATTTCTGGTGTTTTTAAAAAATGAAGACTGGAATGTTGAGACAGAGGGATGCAGTATGTTGGAGGGATGTGGCAGAAATCTATGACCAACACTTGGGCTCCTTAAATACCAGCCAAGATATTTCAATTTAATTCAAGACCATTGAGATCCATTATGAGTTCTTTTTCCCTTTTCTTCCCTCCCCACCCCCATTTGTTCTTTGAAGAAATTCTTATTTCAGTATAGTAGACACACAATGTTATATCAGTTTCAGGTACACAACATAGTGATTCAACAAAACTGTACATTATGCTGTGTTCACAAGTGTAGCTACTACCTGTCGCCATACAACACTAGTACAGTACCATTGACTATATTCCCTATGCTGTACTTTTTATATGTTATGTATATGTCATCATATTTTGCATCTTTTAATTCATAATATTCTTCTAATTATGGATTTTTCCCCCCTACTTAAAGAAATCCCTTTCACATTTTTGTAAGGCCAGTTTAGTGATGATAAACCCTTTAATTTTTCTTTGGTTGGGAAACTCTTTCTCCTTTTATTCTGAATGATAACCTTGCCAGGTAGAGTATTCTCGGTTGTAGGTTTTTTCCTTTCAACACTTTGAATATATAATGCCACTCCCTCTGGCCTTCAAAATTTCTGCTGAAAAACTGATAGCCTTGTAGGGTTTCCCTTGTATGCAACTTCTTGCTACTTTCTTGCTACTTCTACAAATCTCTTTATCTTTAACCTTTGACATTTTAATAATTATGTTTTATGGGTTCATCTTGTTTTTAACTTTCTGTGCTTCTTAAACCTGGATGTCTGTTTCTTTTCCCAGATTAGTGACGTTTTGAAGCTAGTATGTCTTCAAATGAATTTTCTGCATCTTTTTTTTCTCCTTCTGGAACCCCTATAATGTGAATATTTGTTTGCTTGATGTTGTCAAGAGATCTCCAAACTTATCCTGATTTTTTTTTTCTGTTGTTCAGTTTGGATGCTTTCTGTTACCCTATGTTCCAGATCACTGATCCATTCTTCTGCATCCATAATCTGTTGATTCCCTCTAGTGGTTCTTTCTCCCCCTTCACTTCAGTTATTGTATTCTTCACTGTTGGTTTTTTAAAATATTTTTTCTTTGTTGAAGGCCTACTGTGTTCTTTTACTCTTTTCTCTAGCAAGCTGAATATCTTTATGATCATTGGTTGAAGTCTTTTTTAAAGCATATAGCATATCTCCTTTTTATTTAGTTCTTTTTTTGGAGGTTTTGTGTTGTTCTTTCTTTTGGAATGTATTCCTCTGCCTCCCCATTTTTCTTGACTTTCATGTTTGTTCCTATGAATTAGGTAAGACAGCTACTTCTCCTAAATTTGAAGAAATGGTCTTGTGTATGGTCTTCCCTATATATAGTTGGCAATTTCCTCTGGCTGGCTGGAGCTGCAGATGATGTAGGTTGAGGGTTTCAGGGCATTCCATGCTGTGTCTGACCTGGTGGGATGACTGGAGCTGAAGTGGGTGTAAGTGGGGAAGTCCCAGGGCTCTTCATGCAGTGGACATCCTGGCAGGACAGCTAAAATGGAACTGGGTGCTGATTTGGAGGATCCTGGGGCTCTATATGCAGAGGGTGCCCTGTCAGGCCAGCTGAAGCTGAAGTCAGTGCAAGCTGGAGTGGCCTGATGGGGTGACAAGCCAGGCTGGAACAGGCCAGGGTGTCCAAGGACTTACTATGCAGGAGTGCCCTGTCAGGCCAGCTGAAGCTGAAGTGGGTGTAAGCTAGGGAATCCCTGGGCTTTCCATGTAGAAGACACCTTATCAAGACAGCTGAAGTGGAAATGGGTATAAGCCAGGTTGTTTAAGAGCGTTCCACAGTGAGGGTGCCCTGGTAGGACAACTGAAAGTGGAGTGGGTACAAGCTGGGGGTCCCTGGGTATGCTACACAGGGGCTGCCCTTGTGGAGTAATAGGATCCAGGGCTGGGGGATGCCTGTGTTATCTACAGGGGGCTTTCTGGTGGGACAGCTGGTGCCAAAGCATGAATCAGCCAGGAGGTTCCAGAGCACTCTGTATTGGGGGTGTCCTAGCAAGCTGTCTGAAGCAGATGTGGTGTGGATCTGGAGAGTTCAGGGATCCTTTGCACCTGTGTCACTGTGATGCAACAGGTGGAGCTGTGGTGAGTGCTCTCCAGGGGTGTCCTGGTGTATACCTCCCTGGATCCTCCTTGGTGAGATTGCTGGAGCTAGTGGGGGCTAGGTGCCTTGGGCTCACTGATGTGGTAGGCTGGTTAGGGTGCCCAGATCTTGCTCCCCTCATTCACACTGTCATGGTGGAGGGGGAGCATAATCTGTGGTACTTGCCAGCCTTTCTGTCCTGTAGAGATTTGCTGCATCTCCCTGCAGTTTGGCAGGGTTCTAAGGCTGCTTGTTTTATATACTAGTTGCTCTTTTATTTATTTATAAATAATAAATAAAATAGTTGCTCTATTTTACTTATTTTTTATTTAAATTCAATTAATTAATATACAATGTATTATTTGTTTCAGAGGTACAGGTCTGTGACTCATCAGTCTTATATTATCCCCAGTACTCATTATAACACATAGCCTCCCCAGTGTTCATCACCTAATTACCCCATATCCCCATCCCCATCCCCCCTAGCAACTCTCAGTTTGTTTCCTATGATTAAGGGTCTCTTATGGTTTGCCTCCCTCTCTGGTTTCATCTTATTTAATTTTTTCCTCTCTTCCCCTATGATCCTCTGTTTTGTTTCTTAAATTCCACCTATCAGTGAGATCATATGACAGCTGTCTTTCTCTGACTGACTTATTTTGCTTAGCATGATACCCTCTAGTTCCATCCATGTTGTTGCAAATGGCAAGATTTCATTTTTTTTGATGTAATATTCCATTGTATAGATACATACCACATCTTTATCTATTCATCTGTCAAGATAGACATCTGGGATCCTTCTACAGTTTGTCCATTGTAGACATTGGTGCTATAAACATTGGGGTGCAGATGCCCCTTTGGATCACTACATTTGTATCTTTAGGGTAAATACCTAGTAGTTCTGGGTTGTAGGGTAGCTCTGTTTCAACTTTCTGAGGACCCTCCATACTGTTTTCCAGAGTGGCTGCTCCAGCTTACTTTCCCACCAGCAGTGTAGGAGAGTTCCCCTTTTTCTATATCATCAACATCTGTCATTTCCTGACTTGTTAATTTTAGCCATTCTGACTGGTGTGAGGTGTATTTCACTGTGGTTTTCATTTCTATTTCCCTGATGCCAAGTGATGTTAAGCATTTTTTCATGTGTCTGTTGGCCATTTGGATGTCTTCTTTGGAGAAATGTCTGTTCATGTCTTCTGCCCATTTCTTGGTTGGATTTGTTCTTTGGGTGTTGAGTTTGATAAGTTCTTTATAGATTTTGGATATATTCTGGTTTCTCTTCAGATCATATAAATCTTTCGCCTTTTACTTGTTTCTCTTTTAAACCTTGCCTTTTATTTTTTTAATTTTATTTATTTGACAGAGAGCACAAGTAGGCAGAGAGGCAGGCAGAGAGAGAGGAGGAAGCAGGCTCCCTGCTGAGCAGAGAGCCTGATGTGGGGCTCGATCCCAGGATCCTGGGATCATGACCTGAGCCAGAGACAGAGGCTTTAAACCATTGAGCTACCCAGGTGTCCCTAAAACTTTCCTTTTTTTTTTTTTTTTTTTCCCTGTGTCCCAAGGCAGACAAATCTATTCCTGCTCTCTCAGTACTATCCATTCCCACTGCAGTTCAGAGCATTTGGGGATAGAGGTTTCGTTCATTACTGTGTCTCCTTTCTTTTGTTGGGAAGAGGCTGTTCAGTCACCCCTCCCACCGTGTGATTTTGAGGAAGGGATTGATGTGATGAGATCATATAAATTGGATAATTATGAGGGATAAAAAAGAAATAAAGAGGGAAAAGATGGGAGGTAGGGATGTCAGTGTCAGGTGGCTTTTGAAAGGTCTGAAAGATGCAAGGGGTCTAAGAGTATTACTAAAAATAGAACAACTTTTCTCAGGGCTTATTTTGATCTACCTAATTCATGGGTTGATGGTGATAGACTGGAAGAAACTGTATTTAGCTCTTCTGTTAGGAAAAAAAATGAGACAATAATTTCTGTAAAATTAGAATTGACGGGGTTAATACAGAAATGATTTAAAAATGTTAATGATGAAATATATCCCCAAATTGATAATTATTTTTAAATGACATTATTTTACATCAGAGCTGTGAGTTTTTCTAGAACCCTAATCTGTTTTTCATTTTGTCATCCCCTTACTGTAAATGAATGATTTACAGTTGTTTTTCTATCTTAATGTCTCTTGCAAAAGCGATTAATAGAAATAGAAAAGAGAAAGACATTAAGGGATTTGAAGAAGAAGGAGAAGGAAGAAAGGAGGAAGCAGCTAGCAGCAGAGATGGGAGAAGATGGAGAAAAGGAACTCCAAGTAGAGGAGGAGGAAGAGGAAGAGGAGCCATTACCTGAAATCTTTATTCCATCAACTCCCTGTCACATTCTCTGTGGATTTTACTCTGAGCCAGGGAAGTTCTGGGTTTCTTTGGTGAGTAACAATGTAATACATAAATTTTATCTCAGCTCTAATCAAATATAGTTCATGATCATGATTTTCCAACACACTGTTACTTTCTAACTTATGGTAAGGCCATTTATTAACTACTATTGAAGGTGTGAATTGTGGTGTATGAATGTGAGTTACAGTTTTTATAACATCTTGATATCTCTTTTATGTCTGCTTATTATGCTATCATCTATAACAATCATACATGTTCCAGGAGGTCAAAGGGGAGAAGAATTAAAGATAGAAGGGCAAAGGGCTAAGGATTCTTCCAGTTGATTCTACGGCCTTTTAAATTGTGCAACTAAGTGACATTTTGAAAATAATGGGCACACTATCCTGTAAACTTTTGCTTGCATTTTGTTATTTGCAGCTGTGCTGTGTGGCCACGCAAAAGTTTGGGAAGATGGCTGTTTTTAGGTGGTCACATTGCCACTCTGAACAAAATTGAGATTTGGCTAGTAAAGCAGAAGAGAAAAATGGATATCAGGGAGATAGACACCAAGAATTGTCACAGTATTGTGACAACTGTATCTTCTAATTATATATTTTCTACTCCTATCATAAGATATTGATCAATTGCAAAGCAAGATTTCCTTCATTATAAATTTGTCACAAATTTCATCTCCATTCACCAAAAAAAGTAATAATTGACATAAAAGTATACAGGCATACCCTATTTTATTGCACTTCACAGATACTTTGATTGTCACCAATTGGTTTGTGGCAATCCTGTGTTGAGCAAGTTTATTGGCATCATTTTCCCAAAAACATAGGCTCACATCATGTTTTTGTGTCACATTTTGTAATTCTTGCAGTATTTCAAACTTTCTCATTATTATTCTTTGTTGTTATGATCTGTGGTCATTGATCTTTGTTGCTATTGTAGTTGTTGGGGGGAGTCATGAACCACATCCATATTAGACCACAAACTTAATGATAAATATGGTGTGTGTTTTGACTGCTCCACTAACCAGCCATTCCCTTGCCTCTCTCCCTCTTCTTGGGCTTTCCTATTCTCTGAGATATAATAATATTGAAATCAGGCCAGTTAACAACCTTACAATGGCTTCTAATTGTTCAAGTGAAAGCAAGAGTCACATGCTTCTCACTTTAAATCAAAAGCTAGAATGATTAAGCTCAGTGAGGAAGGCAGGTCAAAAGCCAAGATAGGCCAAAAACTAGACTTATTGTGGCCAACTTGTGAATGCAAACAAAAAGTTCTTGAAGGAAATTAAAAGCGCTAGTCTAGTGAACACATGAATACTAAGAAAGAAAAACAGGCTTATTGCCAATATGGAGAAATTCTCAGTGGTCTGGATAGAAGATCAAACCAGCCACAACATTCCCTTAAGCCAAAGCCTAATCTAGAGCAGGGCCCTAAATCTCTAAATCTACGAAGGCTGAGACAGGTGAGGAAGCTATAGAAGAAAAGTTGGAATTTAGCAGAGTTTGGTTCATGCGGTTTCAGAAAAGAAGGAAAGAAGCCTTCTCCATAACGCAGAAGTGTAAGGCAAAGTAATAACTGCTGATGTAGAAGCTGTAGCAAGTTCTCCAGAAGATCTGGCTAAGGTAATTCATGAAGATAGCTACACTGAACAATAGACTTTTTAAAAAAAATATTTTATTTATTTACTTGAGAGATAGAGAGTGAGAGAATGAGCTGAGAGAGCAGCAGAGGGAGAGGGAGAAGCAGACTTCCCACTGAGCAGGGAGTCTGACATGGGGCTCAATCCCAGCACCCTGGGATCACAAGCTGAGCCTAAGGTAGACACTTAATCGACTCAGCCACCCAGAGGCCCTGAGCAAGAGATTTTCAGTGTAGATGAACCAGTCTCATTGTGGAAGAAAATACCATGTAGGACTTTCAGAGAGAAGTCAATGCCTGGCTTCAAAGAATAGGTTGTTTTTCTTGTCAGAGGCTAATGCAGCTGGTGACTTAAGTTGAAGCCAGTGCTCATTTACCATTCTGAAAATCCTGGACATTAGGAATTACATTAAGTCTATGCCAGTGCTCTATAAATGGAACAACAAAGCTAGATGACAGCACATCTGTTTACAACATGGTTTACTGGATATTTTAAGCCCACTGTTGAGACCTACTCCTCAGAAAAAAAGATTCTTTCAAAATATTACTGCTCATTGACAATGCATCTGGTCACCCACAAACTCTGATGGAGACATACAGTGAGATTAATGTTATTGTCATGCCCGCTAGTGCAACATCCATTTTGCAGCCTGTGAATCAGGGAGTAATTTAAACTTTCAAGTCTTATTATCTAAGAAATATGCTTTGTAAGGCTATGGGTGCCATAGATTGCAATTCCTCTAACGGATCTGGGTAAAGTCAATGGAAAAACTTCTGGAAAGGATTCACCATTCTAGATTCATGGGAAGAGGTCAAAATATCAACATTAACAGGATTTCTTGGAAGAAGTTGATTCCAACCCTCACGGATGACTCTGAGGGGTTCGGGACTTGAGTGGAGGAAGAAACTGCAGTTGTGGTAGAAATAGCAAGAGAACTAGAATTATAAATGGACCCTGAAGATGGGACCGAATTGGCTGCAATCCCATGATAAAAATGGTAACAGATGAGGAGTTGCTTCTTATGGATGGGTAAAAAAAAAGTGGTTTCTTGAGATGACATCTACTCCTTGTAAAGATGCCATGAAGATGGTTGAAATGGCAACAAAGGATTTAGAATATCACATAAACCTATTTGATAAGCTGCAGCAAGGTTTGAGAGGATTGACTCCAATTTTGAAAGAAGTTCTACCCTGAGTAAAATGTTAACTAACAACATTGCATGCAACAGAGAAATTCATGAAAGGAAAAGTCAATTGATGCAGCAAACTTCATTATTGCCTTATTTTAAGAAATGGCTGTGGCCACCCCAGCCTTCAGCAACCACCACCCTGATCAGTCAGCAGCCATCAATGTTGAGGTGAGACCCTCCATCAGCAAGAAGATTAAGACTTGCCCAAAGCTCAGATTACAGTTAGAAGTTTTGGGCAATAAAGTATTTTTAAATTAAGGTATGTACATTTTTTCCTTAGACATAATACTATTACATACTTAATAAACTATGGTATATTGTAAACATAACTTTCATATGCACTGGGAAACAAAAAATCATTTGACTCACTTTATTGCAATAGTAGCTTTATTGAGGTGGTCTGGAATTGAACCCCTATTATCTCTGAGGTATAACTGTAAGTGAGAGATTACCATTTATGCACAACCTATCCCAGCTCTTTGGCCAGGCCAGAACACTGACTAGCCAAGGATTGTTACTACAAGGAGTAATGAGCATTAACTTCTCCCGTGTTCATTTTTTCCTAGACATTTATCTTTGTTAGCAACTTCTAGGGAGGCAAGCAGCAAAAAGGATAGAAAGTAGTGATGCTTTGTCCATCTTTATGAAACAATGGTTGATGACTACTATTGTGTGGGGTTCAAGGGCATAGGGATAAATAAGGCATGTTTCCTGCCCTCAGGAAATTCCTTCATATCAGGAGGAGAGAGGCACAGAAACAACTGTAATAAAATGTAATAGCATTCTAGTATCCTTGAAACACATGCAAAAATTATTATTTAACACATTCACTGCTTATTCTTAGGATTGCCAATAAATATTATATGAGACATACTTACCCTAGGTGTATTTGTTACCTGAAATTCATATTTAACTGGGTATCTGGTATTTTTATTTGTGGAATATGGAAACCTATTTATTCCATACAGAGCACCCTTCTAAGTGATTTACTAACCATCCTATAAAATAAATCCTCTTATAATTTGCATGTTGCATGAGAAGAAACCAAGGCAGGGAGAGGTTATGTCACTTATCCAAGGTCATATAACTAACGAGAGGTGGAACCAGGATGTGGACTCAGGCAGTTTGGGCCTCGAGTCCATGCTTTTAACCATTAAGCTCCACCAGCATGCAAGATTAAGGTACAGTTGACAGAGGTAGTGCCGCTGATTCTTCTTGATGCAGATATTTGCCAGCTCCGTGCCTGCAACCAAATACACTGTGTAGAAGACCAGTCTCCCTGTGAGGTTGTGACTGCAGTTCTCAAGTCCATGCTCATGTTGCTGGCCCATTCTCCCGCCCAGCACTGTTGGCTCTGCCACTTGGCTGAATTACTGATGTAATTTTTCCTCCCCTCAGACATGCTGCACCCTCCCTTGCCTTCTAAGATAACCTTCTCTCACATTTCACTGAGAAAATAAAATTTTCCTTGACTTGTCTTTTTTTTTTTTTTTAAAAGATTTTGTTTATTTTGACAGACAGAAATCACAGGTAGGCAGAGAGGCAGGCAGAGAGAGGAAAGGAAGCAGGCTCCCTGCTGAGCAGAGAGCCCGATGTGGGGCTCGATGTGGGGCTCGATGTGGGGCTCGATCCCTGGACCACGGGATCATGACCTGAGCTGAAGGCAGAGGCTTTAACCCACTGAGCCACCCAGGTGCCCCTTCCTTGACTTGTCTTAAATAGATCTGACACCCTGTGAGGATCCATACAAGTTTTGTCTGCCCTGCCTGTTGTTGCCTGTTGTTCCAGTTGATGATGGTCTGCTGCAACTGTCCAAGGACGCTCTTCCTGAAGCCTTTTGATCCCACCCCTCTCCCTTCCTCCAATAGTTTATTCCTGCAGTAAGCCACCCAGTCTCCTGTGTCATCCACTTCCTTCTGTTCACTAAATTTTTATCTTACAAACATGCTCTAGTACTTCAAATTTTTTCTTAACCTCTCTTTCCTTCCCTTGCACTCCTCCTTTTAGAGGTGATCCTGAAGATAATATGCACCTTTAAGTTAATATAATTTGATATAATTTATTTTAATTTCAGAGAAAAAAGATCTTAGAGCACTTTAATGCCATGTATCCTCTCCCTCCCCATTGTCCTATATTTTTTCTCTCTCTCTCTCTATATATATATATATTTGTATCCCCAAAAGGTATTTTACTATTATATTGTTGATATCACTTTGGTTTATCCTTTTTCTTGTTGTTAATTCCTTTCTATATCTTTGTAATTGCATCTTCTGCCTTAAATATATAATATATGTTATATATTTAATGTAGGTCTGCTAGTGACAAATTCTCTGTTTTGGGGGTTTTGGAGAGTTCTTAAAGTGTCCTCATTTTGCCTTTTTAAAAAAATTATAGTTTTGTTGGAAATTTTGTTTTCAAACTTTGATATCTTTTACTCTTCTTTTGTCTTCCATTCTACCAGCTGCATTATTTATCTATTTATTAGATTTCTTTTCAGTGTACTGGAATTCATTGTTTATGCACCACACCCAGTGTTCCATGCAATCCGTGCCCTCCATAATACCCACCACCAGGCTCACCCAAACTCCCACCCCCCACCACTTCAAAACCCTCAGATTGTTTTTCGGAGTCCATAGTCTCTCATCGTTCATCTCCCCCTCCAATTTCCCCCAACTCCCTTCTACTCTCCATCTCCCCATGTCCTCCGTGTTATTTCTTATGTTCCACAAATAAGTGAAACCGTATAATTGACTCTCTCTGCTTGACTTATTTCCCTTAGCATAATCTCTTTTTATTGTTTCTTTGACACCTAGTATGTCTTTTTCTCTTTGCTTAAAATTTTGTGTTAAAGCATGTCGTTTCTTCATATTTATCTTGCTGGTGGTCATAGCATTTCTTGAATCCCAATATAGTTTGATTCAGTTTTGGAAAACTCACAGCCATTATCTACCATAATATTGCTCTGGCCCATCTTTTTACTTGTTTCTGCTGGGATTTCAGTTTTCTGTATATTAACCCTTATTACTATGTCCTGTATGTACTTTACACACACACTGGCCTTTTTCGGGGGGGGTATTTTCCATTTTTCTTTTCTTTCTCCTGCCTTGGCCTGACTACTTTATCTGATCTCTGTTCCAGCTTTATAACTCTGCTGTGTCTAGTTGCTTTCAAACTCATCTACTGATTGTAATTTGTCATTTTATTTGTTCTAGAATTTTATTTTTTCCATTTAATTTTTTTTTATAGATTCCAGATGGCTTCTTAAATTTTCCATTTGGCTTCAGAATCTTTAAATATACTAATCTTGGTTATTTGAAGTCCATTTTGTAAATATCTCAATATCTCATAACTTTGATTTGTCTTTTTAAAATCTATTTAAATTCAATTTTGTTAACATATAGTGTATTATTAGTTTCAGGGGTAGAATTTAGTGATTCCTCAGTTGCATATAACACCCAGTGCTCTTTACATGCCCATCACCCAGTTATAACATCCCCCCCTACCTCCCCTCCAGCAACCGTCAATTTGTTTCCTGTAGTCAAGAGTCTTAAGGTTAGCCTCATTTTCTGTTTTCATCTTATTTTACTTTTCCTTCCCTTTCCCTATGTTTATCTGTTTTGTTTCTTAAATTCCACATATGAGTGAAATCATATGGTATTTGTCTTTCTCTGATTGACTCATTTCACTTAGCATTATACCCTCTAGTTCCATCCATATCATTGCAGATAGCAAGATTTCATTTTTTAAATGACTGGGTAGTGTTCCATTATATCTTCTTTATCCATTCATCTGTTGATGGACATCTGGGCTCTTTCCATATTTTGGCTATTGTGGGCCTTGTTGCTATAAACATTGGAGTGCATGTTTCCCTTCAAATCACTATGTTTGTATCCTTTGGATAAATACCTATAGTGCAACTGCTGGGCTGTAGAGTAGTTCAATTTTTAACTTTTTGAGGAACCACCGTATTGGCTTTAGGGTGTCTGCACCAGTTTATATTCCCACCATAATCTTGTTTGTCCTTTGATTTAAGATAATCAAGTCTTATCTTAGCTAGTATGCCTAGTTGGTTTTTTTAAAAAAATTGAATAATTGACCTTGTATGTGAAAAACTGTAGCATTTGTTGAGATATGTTGGCATTGTCTCCTGGAAATTTATTTTTGGTCCTGGAAAGCAGCTAGAAATCCTAGATCACTTTCATCTATTCAGTGATTGAGACTCATACATGCAGTGTGTAGTGCTCCAGGGTTGCAGTGGAAGTTGTGTTTACTGTGTCTCCTTCTCCTTGGAGGATCCTGTGATTTCTTTTCTTCTTCCTAAGCCCATGAGGCAACAGAATGCTCTGCTGAGCTTCTAAGCCTCTAAGCTGCCACTTCCAGAACTCCCCATTGCCTCCGGGAGAAGAGCAATGCACTAGACTCAAAACTAGCTCTGAACACCATGTCCTACACAACTCTATTACTGAATACTAAATGCAAAATAATACCTGAAATAAAATGGAATTCAGTAGGTAATCGGAAGTGGTATCTCTCTTATAATAACTTCTAAGTAGAAAGCAAATTACTGTAAGGTGTTTTATTATTGTATAATTGTATAGTTGCATATAAATAGACAGTGGAGATACTTTATAAAACCTTATCTATAATCATAGAAATCATATCAAAATAGATGTTTTAAGACTTCTATTTTAGGTTTTAAAATTTGAAATAATATAAAAATCCTCATGTGGTCATATGTATCTTATATTTAAATACTAGTTTCCATGTTATTTTTCTCTTTTCCAGGGTGGCTATGATGCTGGTTTTCTATATCACTGTGAGTTCCCCTCGTATGACCAGAGTACTGCTATCACAAAAAAGAAAGATGAACCTTTTGATTTTCGTCTTCTTGAAGATACAGAGGATAATCCCATCCAAACTATCACTTTCAGGTGAACTGAATTTCAGAAAGCCTTAAAAAAACCAATCCCATTTATGCCCGTGTTGTTGCCCATCATGAATATTGTTCATTTTAGAAGATCTGTCCAATTGGAGAAGGGTACGAACATTTTCTAGTTAAATAAATTGAATAAATGAATAGAATCAAAGCTAATTCCAAAACTATATTTCAAGTCCCTTTATCAAATATTCTGTCAGAATTTGTTTTTCACACAATAGGTTTGTAGGGATTTATTCAGGGGTATGCTACTGCTTGGTCAAATAATGAAGGTTCAGTGTTGCTATGATTCTGGAGAAATCACAAATTGAGATTTTTAAATGATTGATAATCACATTTGTGATTTATTTGTGATATTATTATCATAATGTGATTTATTTGTGATATATTATCACAATAATAAATCACAAATATTATTTGTGATAAATAGTCACAAATTGAGATTTAATAATTGAGAAGCATATATGCCAGTTATTCTTTTGAAGATCAAATATAATAGCTCCAAATTTCAAATTGGCTTTTCTTCTCCTTTTACTCTTTTGTACAGTTTGCTAGGGCTGCCATAGTTCCTTAGGGCTTCAAAATTTGAATGGGGGGGCACAATGTAGTCTATAACATTTTTGTTAATAAAATTTAGCCATTTGTCAATTAACTTAAAATTAAACATTTTCAGATTAATATGAAGAACAATTTATGTTTCCTAGCATTCACCAAGATATGATGTTTTGTGGAATGCAAAATGGAGCAATTCGAGTCTATATCCTAAGTCAAAATAAGCCTTCATTGATTAATACAGAGGACTACTGGCACTTCAATATCCATGACAATAATTATGGTTGTATTAAAGGCATCTGTACTAGTTTTGATGACCGTTTCTTGGTGACTACTGGAGCAGATAGTAATATCTTTGTTTTCACCATTTTTTCTGAATTTGAGCTAAAGAAAGACATCAAAGCTGAAGTGCCATCTCCTAGGGTATGTAACTAATAACAATGATAAAGAAATTAATTTTAAAGTAGTGATGTCAAAATTACTTTCTTTAAAAATTGAAAACTCATTTACCTTATAGTCTATTCTTTGATAGAATTTTGACTTTCTGGTGCCTCTGTTATTAAATATTAAAGTCACTGAATTCCCCTATAACACTAAAGGTATAGAATTCCCCAATTTAAAAAAACTGAGTAATTTTTTTCTATATCAATCACTTTCTGGGTTAAATTTCTTTGTTTTCAAAATGTACAACTTTTTCAGAAAAATATTTTGCTTTTCATTTATTCACTTAATGAACGGGCATATATGGGAAGTATACCATAATTTGTGTGTTTGAAAGGAGTTGTAAAAGTGGTAGTTTTTAAAATTAGAATATGACAATATGGATCATGACCAAAGATTCAGTTAAATTATTCTATTCTTAAGCAGAGTGTATCATTGGATTTGTAATGAAGATTGATCCCCAAATTATATCCATTTGCCCTACCACATGACAGAGTAGTTCCTTTGGGAAAAAAAAATCACTAATAACCATTTGAATTGTTCCTCAAGAAGAGAGAATTGTATTAAAAAGACCATAGTTAAAATTCTTGTAAATACACTGGCATTCCATTTAATAGGTAACCAACTTTAAAAGAAGATACAAAAAAGTAGGGCAGATTTGAGCAGGTAAATTTTCATTTCTATTAATAGAAGCAAAACTAGGAGAATGGACTGTTGTCCAAAGAGCTCCTGCTCAGAAAGAAGAATTACAGAAGGGGAAAGTGTAAGAATAAGAGAATCTTTTTCTTTCTACCTAGTGCTAGCTCTTCCTATGGAAATCTATATTGGACAGAAAAAAACCATTTCACATTTGTATAATAGCACCCTTTTATATATGAATTTAATCAGTATTTCTTATGTCCCTGATGTGGACTCTGCTTTTAGGAAGACAGAATCAGAAAAAACTGAATAAATAGAGTACTAAGCTCTGCATAGGTCTAAGGATCTTACTTTAGAATCTGTTGGGAAGCCCTTAAAAGTACAGATTCCTGAGCCCCAGCCAGGAGCAATTAAATCAGAATATCTGAAAGTGAGGGCCAGGTATCGGTATTTTATAAAATATCTAGCCTTCTTCCTGGGTCTCAGCCCCCATGACTCCAATGTGCAGCTGGGATTGAGAATAATTGGCCTGCATTTTGGCACAGTTGGTAGCAACTCTGTTTAATTCAAATTTATTATAAACAGCTGAGGCCAAGAGATGGTTGGTTGGGTATCCTGGAGATCACACTGCTAATGGAAAACCAAGGGGCTTGGCTCTGGAAAACAAAAGAATAGAAAAATAAAATTCAATCAAGTTATGTCATAAGTGATTAACAGTAATTACAATGTATTAGCCATCAATGTCTCTTCTACTGGTCATGTCTTATGACTTCACTTTTACTAAAGTTCTAAATTTTGGGGTACCTGGATGGTTCAGTCAGTAGAGTATGTAACTCTTGATCCCTGGATTGTGAGTTTGAGCCCCATGTTGGGGTGTAGAGATTACTTGAAAAAAATAAAGTTCTGAACCTTCTCCTACACAAAAATATGTAGATTTACATTTCATATGTGTAAAAACTAGAACTGTAATAATACAACTTCTTCAAAAAATAGTCCATATTTCTTCATTAGGAATGGCAACAAACCAGAGACCTATCTGTTATGAAAAAGAATAGAGAATAAACAAGTTCAATTTTACTTAGGAACTGATCAGCTAACAATCTCAGACTTCATTTGGTTCACTGGATTATAATTCTCCTTCCTTAAATTTTATAGCATAGCACCCGAATAAGCAAAGTAATTTTAAGTGATTTACCTCATAGTTCCCTTAAACTAATTTGGTTACTAAAAGGAGATTCATATTTCTGATTTCATCTTTCTTTCTCAAGGAGGGGAACTGTATTATTCCTGCATATGTCACTCTATGTCTTTTTTTTTTTTTTTTAGTAAGCTCAAGTGAAATGCTAAAGTTTAAAAAATATAGTATATCAATGATACTCAAAAAATTTAATTTAAAAAATATATATTTTAAAATCTTCCTGTATATATGTAAGGTATTTAGGGAGACTTATGCATATATAAAGGGGCATAAGCTAAAATACAGAATTTTAAAACAAATGACCTAGAAAATTTGTGTGTATTCTTTGTTAATAACTCATGATATTAGCAATTCAAATTTTGGAGCAGAATTATAGTAATATTAATATTTTGCATACCCATTAGTTTTCAGGACTTTTTTCTACCTACCTCTTTAAATAAAGCAGAAACAAATAAGTTTAATCAATTGCAGTTTTCCTCCTAATTTTCCCTTGTTTATTTCTTGCAAAAGTACTTTGCAGGCCTATAATAGAAATTGGCAGAGGAAAAAACTCAGTTTACTTCATATTAGATATTTTAAGAGAAATATGCAATTTAAAAGATTAACCATTTCTTCCCTTTCTACAGTTTGGAATTGAGACAGAGCCAATTCCAGAAGATATTGAAGATCCCAAAGCCTATAGGTATGGAAATTTTTGATAAACACTAATTAGCCCTGAGCTGTTGCAAAATGGCATTTTATAGAATTTGACCAAGCCAAAAGAATTTCCAAATTATTGAGTCCTTGTTTCCTCTTTTGCTGTTTCTGTATCTCATTATCCTTTTCAATTTCTGTTTTCAGTATTGAGAATGCTAGAAGAAAAAGACAACATGACAAGTTAATGAAAGAAGTGGAAGAAATAAAGGCTGGGAAGAGAGAAAAACTCAAAGCTTTGAGGAATGAATTTTGGAAACTTCTAGAAATGAATCAAGGATTACCAAAGCATATGCAGTTTAAGCGAACAGTAAGCCTAAAATAAATTTAACTTTAATTTTTAACATACAAATTTTTTTGGATAAAGACTATTCTGTTGATAAAGTAGGGACTCCTTAAAATCATCTTTAAGCTTCCCCTTATCACGTCAGCATGTTGGCAGCAGCTGAAATATAGAATTTGATACCCACCTTGGTTTGGATACAGAAGAGCCTCCTTATATAACACTAAGTTTACTTCCAGATTTAGCTACCTCACTTTTGGGGGGCGGGGCGGTAACAAGGTAAGATATAAATACAGATTTGAATCTGGTTATCAACCCATACTGTACCTAGGCAAGATATCCAACCACTGTAAAGGTACACATATATTTTAATTCTCTGTGATTCTGTTTCTATAATTTACCAGATCTGTTGAAAAGATAGTAACTGATAGGTCCACAGAATTTTTAAAAGATGACTTAGTATAGTTGTAGCTATGGGGAGAATTAACAAATTGTTCAGGCTAATTTTGTATTTTTTTTCTTTTCTGACTTATTACAAATCCCCATCTGCCTGCTAGTTTTTTTCTTTTCATTGTATATTTCTTCCTAAGTAGAATTGGTGTCAAGAACCTAATCAAATAAAAAGCCAGAATTTACATCCTGACTATACCTATAATTTTCGAGTCACCTAGCCAATTCCATGTGAAAAATGCTTTGGTGAAATAATAATGGATAATTCATACTGATTAAAAGGCCAACCCATAATGGTTAAAAGATATTTATCTATTTTACTATGAAAAAAATTGACATTTATTAGAATAAGGGTAAAATAATTCAAAATAAAGAACACATGAGGTGAGTTCTGTGGCTAAGCATTTTATATATATCATTACTTAAAACAGAAACACCCCTGGAAAGATTAATTAGTACTTAAAATTTAGTCTGAATGTGTGCCCTGATGTTTTTTCAAGAGTAAAGGCAAAAGACATTAGCCCCCTAAGTATCCTTATGGGAGAAATGGCCCCCTTGGTGAAGGACATCCAGCTAGAATTTGGCAACCTCAAAAAGACACCAAAGACTTAGCTTTCTTTCCTGGGTGAGGTCATATGGGAAGATATGCCATGAATGTCTATCCTGTGCCTAGCTGACTATGTGCCAGTAGTTGCTTTGGGGTGGTGGAATTACTATTATTTTTTTAACTCTGTACACTCTCCAAATATTCTGTTATTCATTGTTTTTTATTGTGGGAAAATCTTTTAATATATAACCTTATTTGTGGTATTAGTTCTGAGAACTTTTCTCCATATTTTGTGGAAATAAAATTATAAGTATTTTTTTTCCAGAACAGAGAGTTTGTAATATTTGGGAGAGAATTGTAATGCAACATGAAATTGAGTACAAAACTTAATCTGTATCTGTATGAAATAAGATTGATAATACACATGGATAAAAGTACCCATTTTGTTGAACAAATCTACTTTTTGCAGGATTTTGATATAGATTCCAAAATTCGTGCTGAGATTGGCAGGAAAACAGCTTTTAAAATTCAACAAGTGGAAAAAGAATTAGCTTGGGAAAAAGAGAAACATCAGATTGGCCTCATGAAACTACAGAATAGGTAGGATCCATATTTCCTGCAAGTTAAGATGTTTGAGAACATATATTTGAATGGAGTTGTTCACAGTGGCTTAATCGAAGTGGTCAGGTAAGAGGTGTTCTAGAGTAACTACTAACTCTTGAAATCTCAAGGAATACTTTTGTCACTGCTACTGATATCTTCTTGAGCTTTCTGAGAAATTCAAATCTGGGGAATTTAACAATTAGATTTTTCAGAGCACCACGGTGGCTCAGTCAGTTAAGCATCTGACTTGATTTCAGCTGAGGTCATGATCATGAGATTGAGCCCTGTGTCGGGCTCCATGCATGGACCCTGCTTGAGATTCTCTCTCTCTGCTCCTCCTCACCTGCTTGCTCTCTCTCTCTCTCTCTCTAAAAAATAATAAATAAATAAATAAATAAATAAATAAGATTTTTCAACTCAACACTGAAAAACTGATTTAAAAATGAGAATACATGAACAGACATTTCTCCAAAGAAGATGTCCAGATGGCCAACAGACACATGAAAAGATGCTCAACATCTCCCATCATCAGGGAAATTCAAATAAAAAGTGTGATGGGATATCACCTCATGCCTGTCAGAATGGCTAAAATAAAAAACACAAGAACAGCAAGTATTGGCAGTGATGTGGAGAAAAAGAAACTTTGTGAACTGTTGGGAATGCAAATTGGTGCAGCTACTATGGAAAGCAGTATGGAGGTTCCTCAAAAAGTTAAAGCTAGAGCTACCTAATGATCCAGTAATCACACTACTGGGTATTTACCCAAGAAATAAAAAAAGAAAAAAAACTAATTCAGAGGGATACATACACCCCTATGTTTATAGCAGCATTTTTTTTTTTTTACAATAGCCAAATTATGGAAGCAGCCCAAGTCCATAGATAGATGAATGGGTAAAGAAGATGTGGTATATGTATACAATGGAATATTCAGCCATAAAAAAGAATGAAATCTTGCCATTTGAAATGACATGGATGGACTAGAGAGTAATGCTAAGCAAAATAAGCAGTCAGAGGAAGACATATACCATGATTTCACTTGTGGAATTTAAAAAACAAATGAGCAAAGGGTAATAGACTGAACTATAGGGAGTGAACTGATGGGTACTAGAGAGGAGGTGGAAAGAGGGATGTGTGAGACAGGTGATGGGGATTACAGAGGGCACTTGTTGTGATGAGCACCAGGTGATGTATGGAAGTATTGAAATCACTTGTATTGTACACCTGAAGCTAATATAACACTATTAACTATGCTGGCATTAAAAATAGTATAAAAATTTTAAAAATAAGAATGATTTTTTATAAACCAAATTATGTAATAAAAATTTATTATCTGGTTTTGGCAAGTCATTTATTTTATATCTAGTTAGCACATGAGCATGTACATCTTTTTTTTTTAAAGATTTTATTTATTTATTTGACACAGAGAGAGAGAGAGAGAGAGACAGGGAGAGAGGGAACACAAACAAGGGGAGTGGGAGAGGGAGAAGCAGGCTTCCCGCTGAGCTGGGAGCCAATGATGGGGGCTCCATCCCAGAACCCTGGGATCATGACCTGAGCTGAAGGCAGACACTAAACGACTGAGCTACACAGGCACACTTGAGCATATACATCTTTAAAAAATAAAAAAATAAGCTAGAATCAAAAGACTTATAATGAAAGACAACTTTCTGTCCAATCTCTCTCATCTACCAATAGGACTCCCCATGAGGAAATTGTCTTTTTTTTTTTTTTTGCCTTTTTGAGATGCAATTTACATTCAGTAAAGTGCATAAATTTTAACTGAACAACTTGATAAATTTTTATAATTATGTATCACCACTACCCAGATTAAGAACATATATAGCACTCCAAAAGTTTCCTTGTGGCCCCTTCCAGTAAGTATCAACTCTCCAGAGATGAATGTTTATTACAATTTTGTCCGTGAATTTCATCAAACAAATTGAATGTTGTAGTATGAACTTTTTTGTATTTGGCTTCTTTTACTTAGCATTGGCCCAAGATTATCTACATTGTTGCAGGTAGCAGTAGTTTATTCTTTTTCATTGTTTTGTTATTGTTTTCTATGTTTATGTCATGTTTTATTTATTCATTCTACTGTTGATGGGTATTTCAGTTGTTTCTATTTTTTGGCTGTAATAGTGCTGCTATGATCATTCTTGTGCATGTTTTTTGGTGGACATAAGAACTTATTTGTTTGCTTTATAATCAGGAGTGGAAATGCTGGGTCATAGATTGTATGCATGTTTGACTTTACTAGACACTGCCAAACAGTGTGTTTCCAAAGTCGTTCAACCAATTTATACCATGACCATCAGTGTATGAGAATTCCAATCGCTCCCCATTGTATTAGCTTCCCAGGGCTTCCATAACAAAGTAAAGTACATGGTTGGCTTAAAATAACAGACAAAACTTCTGGAGGCTGGAAGTACAAAATCAAAGCATTGGTTGAGTTGGGTGGGTTTTTTGTGTTTGTTACTTTTTTTTGAGGCAAGATATATTTTTAATTATTTATATTGAAGTATAATTGACATATATTAGTTTCAGGTGTACAACCTATTGATTCAACAATTCTGTGCATTACTTAGTACTTACCACAATAAGTATAGTCACCATATACTATTACCATGTTATTGACTATATTCTCTGTGCTGTACTATTCAACTCCATGACTTTTTTTTTTTTTTAAAGATTTTATTTATTTATTTGACAGACAGAGATCACAAGTAGGCAGAGAGGCAGATAGAGAGAGAGAGGTGGAGGCAGGCTCCCTGCGGAGCAGAGAGCCCGATGCGGGGCTCGATCCCAGGACCCTGGGATCATGACCTGAGCTGAAGGCAGAGGCTTAACCCACTGAGCCACCCAGGTGCCCCTCAACTCCATGACTTATTTATTTTGTAATTGAAAGTTTGTTAATCTCTTTTTTCTTTTTAAAGTAATATCTTGGGTTGCTTCCATATCTTGGCTATTGTAAATAATACAGTAATAAGCCTTGGGGTGCATGTATCTTCAAATTAGTGTTTTTGTTTTCTTTGGGTAAATAGCCAGTATTGGAATTACTGGGTCATATGGTATTTCTATTGTTCATTTTTAGAGGAACCTCCATACTGTTTTCCACACTAGTTGTACCAACTTACATTCCCACCAACAGGGTATGAAGGTCCCTTTTTTCCCCCACATCCTCACCAACACTTGTTATTTATTTTGATGCTAGCCATTCTGACAGATGTGAGGTGATATTTCATTGTGGTTTTGATTTGTATTTCCCTGGTGATTAGTGATGTTGAGCATCTTTTCATGTGTCTATTGGCCATCTGTATGTCTTCTTTGAGAAAATGTCTGTTCAGGTCCTCTGTCCATTTAAAAAAATTTTTTTTGAAGTAAGCTCTATGCCAACTTAGGTCTTGAACTGATGACCCTGAGATCAAGAGTCACATGCTCTACTAACTGAGTGAGCCAGGTCTCCTATCCTTTGCCCCTTTAAAAATTGAATTGTTTGGGGTTTTTTGGTGTTGTATAAGTTCCGTATATATTTTGGATGTTAACTCCATGGATATATTATGTGCAGATGTCTTCTCTCATTCATTGGGTTACCTTTATGTTTTGTTGATGGTTTCCTTTGCTGTGCAAAAACTTTTTATTTTGGTGTAGTCCGAACAATTTACTTTTGCTTTTGTTTCCCTTGCCTGAAGAGACTTATCCATATATATGTTGTTAATGGTGGATATCCAAGAGATTACTACCTATATTTTCTTTCAGGAGTTTTATAGTTTTAGGTCTCACATTTAGGTCTGTAATCCATTTCGAGTTTATTTTTGTGTATGATGTTAAAAAAATGTTTCATTTTCATTCTTTTACATGTAGCTATCTAGTTTTCCCAGCACCATTTGTTGAACAGACTGTCTTTCCCATGTATATTCTTGTTTCCTTTGTTGTAGATTAATTGACCATATAAGAATGGGTTTATTTCTGGGCTTTCCATTCTGTTCTGTTGATCTATGTGTCTACTTTTGTGCCAGGACCATATTGTTTTAATTACCATAGTTTTGTACCATATCATAAAATCTGGGATTGTTCTACATCCAGCTCCGTTGTTTTTTCTCAACAAATGTCTTTGTGGTTTCCTATAAGTTTTAGGATTACTTGTTCTAATTCCATGAAAAATGCTATTTAATAGTTTCCTCAGAGACCTGGGAGGGAGAATCTGCTCCATGCCTCTCTGAGCTTCTAGTGTTTTGCCAGCAATCTTAATTTTCCTTCCATAGATGAATTATTCTAAATCTTTTGCCTTCAAGTGGTGTTCTCTCTGTGTTTTTTCACGTAATCTTCTCTCTGAGCATGCCCAAGTTCCCACTTTTTATAAACACACCAGTAATGTTGGATTAGGACTGTTCTAATCTCATTTTAACTTGATTATTCTGTCAAGACCCTATTTCCATGTAAGGTCACACTTTGAGATACTGGGAGATTTCAAAATCTCTTTCTGGGTGGATAAAATTCAAACCATAACACTCATGCTTGTAATTTGGTATTGTCATTTCTTTGAATTTTAGCCATTCTATAGTAGTATCTCAGTGTGATTTAAGTTGGTATTTGACTGATGAGTGGTAATTTTAGATTGTTTTCTTATATTTATTTGTTATTTGTGTATTCTCTTTTCTAGGGGTTCAAGTTTTTTGTTCATTTAAAAAATTGGGTTGTAAGAATTATTCCTATCTTCTAGATAGGAATCTTTTCTCCTCCTCCTCCTTCTTTTTCGTTCATTCATTCTTTTTTAAATTAACATATAATGTATTATTTCCCCAGGGGTATAGTTCTGTGAATCAACAGTCTTACACAATTCACAGCACTCACAATAGCACATACCCTCCTCAATGTCCATAAACCAGCCACCCCATCCCTCCCCTCTGGCCCAGCAGCCCTCAGTTTGTTTCCTGAGATTAAGAATCTTTTATAGTTTGTCTCCCTCCCTGGTCCCATCTTGTTTCATTTTTCCCTCC